ACAGGAGAACTTAGGACCCCTAGCAACATTTCTAGAAAGACCTTTCTGAAATTGCAGTCTCCAGTTCTTTACTTTCTCAATTTCAGTAGAGAATCTCTGCCCACTGTGCTTTTTGAAAAGGCCATTATCTGTCTCCATGTTATAAAACCCAAAGGTGGCTCTCTGTCTCTCCTTACTCAGTCACTCTGCAGTGTATATATAGCTGACTGCCGTGTCTTTCCTAATGTACTGGCTTCTCTTGGCTTCTATGACACAGCATTTTCTGCATTTTCCTTCTACTTCATTGGCTACTGTTTCCTGTTTGTCCGAGTTGGCTGCATTAGCACATCATCTAAATGTTAGAGTATCACATAGCTGGGTTTTGGGCACACGCTCTTCTCTATTTGTTTTTCCTCCATTGCTAACTTCATTTAGTCCTTCGGATTAAATGACATTTATATTCAATGATTGCAAAATTTATAACTCAACTTCTGGCATTTCCTTTCATTTAGAGTCTTATATACAATTATATTCTTGATGTTTAACCCCTTGCACTGCAAAGAGATCAAACCAGTCAATCCTAAAGGAAATCAACCCTGGATATTCAATGGAAGGACTGATGTTAAAGCTGAAGCTTCAATACTTTGGCCTCCTGATGGGAAGACCCGGTTCATTGGAAAAACCCTGATGCTGGGAAAGATTGAAGACAAAAGGAGAAGCAGGAGACAAAGGAGAAGATGGTTGGATGGCATCACCGACTCAGTGAACATGAATTTGAGCAAACTCTGGGAGATAGTGGAGGACAGAGGAGCCCAGTGTACTATAGTCCATAGGATTGCAAATAGTCTGACGTGACTTAGTGACTGAGCAACAACAAGTTTAATATTTACAAGGAAGAAGTAAACCTGTATTTTCCCCAGCTTTCAGTATCTCAGTGTATGGCATTGTCCTTTCAGCTAACCAAGTAAAAGCCCACCTTGGTCTCTATTTCTCTCCCTCACAAGCTCTACTTCAGAACCATGAGCAGAACAGAGCCCAAACTAAACAGCTTCTCTCCATCTCTGCTTATGCAAATCACTTCTTTGCTTAATATCTGTAACAGTCCAGTTCAGTCACTCCAGTCATGTCTGACTCTTTGTGACCCCATGGACTGCAGCATGCCAGGCCAGGCTTCCCTGTCCTTCACCAACTCCCAGGGCTTATTCAAACTCATGTCAAACTCGAGTCAGTGATCCATCCAACCATCTCATCCTCTGTCATCCCTTTTTTCTCCCGCCATCAATCTTTCCCAGCAACAGGATATCTTCAAATGAGTCAGTTCTTTGCATCAGGTGGCCAAAGTATTGGAGTTTCAGCTTCAGTATCAGTCCTTCCAATGATTATTCAGGATTGATTTCCTTTAGGATTGACTGCTTTGATCTTGCAGTCCAAGGATACAGTACAGTATTGTTAACTATGAACAGAGCGGATCTCTAGAACTTTTTCATCTGGTACAACTAAAACTTTATACCCATATTTCATGTCTTCTTAACTGAACCTTGCTTTTCTCCCTGCCTGCTGTGTACTCCTCATCCTACAAGGTGCCCACTAGGCATTGCTCTCTGTGGTGCCATCTCTGGTTTCTCCCTCCTTTCCATACTATTAGCCTACTTTGTACTTGTCACTATTATANTGAGCAATACTTTGCTAGCATGTGAGATGAGTGCAGTTATGTAGTAGTTGGATTCTTTGGCATTACCTTTCTTTGGGATTGGAATGAAAAGTGACCCTTTCCAGTCAATCCACTGACTCCTCCAAATTCTCCTGTCTGGTTACAACCTAGTCTCCAGGGATCAGCCGGAGTGCTCAGTTTATTTATTTATTTTAAAATTTTTTTATTGTTTTTAACACCAAAAACATTTTGTATTGGGGTATAGCTGATTAACAATGCTGTGACATCTTCAGGTGAACAGTGAAGGGGCTTAGTCATACATATACATGTATCCACTCTCCCCCAAATCCCCTCCTATGCAGGTTGGTACATAATATTGAGCACAGTTCCTTGTGCTAATAGGTCTTTGTTGGTTATCCATTTAAAATATAGCAGTGTGTACACGACCTCCCCAAATTCCCTAACTGTCCCTTCCCCCTGACAACCATACGTTTGTTTTCTAAGTCTGTGAGTCTCTTTCAGTTTTGTAAGTGCTCGCTTTCTTTTTTTTTTCCCCTTTTTTCAACAGTAGATTTTTATTTTGTTTATGTGCTAAATATCTTGGGGTTTTTTTTCCATTTATTTTCATTAGTTGGAGGTAATTACTTTACAATATTGTAGTGGGTCTTGTCATACATTGACATGAATCAGCCGTGGATTTACATGTATTCCCCATCTCGGGCCCCCCTCCCACCTCCCTCTCTACCCGATCCCTCTGGGTCTTCCCAGTGTACCAGGCCCAAGCACTTGTCTCATGCATCAACCTGGGCTGGTGATCTGTTTCACTATAGATAATATACATGTTTTGATGCTGTTCTCTCGAAACATCCCACCCTCACCTTCTCCCACAGAGTCCAGAAGTCTGTTCTGTACATCTGTGTCTCTTTTTCTATTTTGCATATAGGGTTATCATTACCATCTTTCTAAATCCCATATATTTGTGTTAGTATGCTAGAATGTTCTTTATCTTTCTGGCTTACTTCACTCTGTATGATGGGCTCCAGTTTCATCCATCTCATTAGAACTGATTCAAATGAATTCTTTTTAATGGCTGAGTAATATTCCATGGTGTATATGTACCACAGCTTCCATTCGTCTGCTGATGGGCAGCTAGGTTGCTTCCATGTCCTGGCTATTATAAACAGTGCTGCGATGAACATTGGAGTGCACGTGTCTCTTTCAGATCTGGTTTCCTTGGTGTGTATGCCCAGAAATGGTATTGCTCGTTTTCAAAGGTAAATTGGATTGTGTCTTTTTCTGCAGAGAAGCTTTAATGACTTCTTGGCCCATGCAAAGAAAACCCCAAATTCTTACATTATCTGATCCCTCTCAGACTCTCTATCCCATTTTCTATCACTCTCTCCCTGCCTTCCTTTGTTTCAGCTGTGTTGGCTAATTCTGACTGTAGAACTTGTTGTAGCAGCTCTTTTCTTCTGTATGAAATGTTCTCCTCCCCAAGATTTGCATGATGAGTTCCATTCTGAACTTCAGCTCAGAAGTCATTCTCTCAGGCCTTTCCTTACTGATTATTTATCACTTCACTCACCACGCACAGACATTGTCTATTACAGCATTGTTCTCATTACCCTCATAGCTCTTACCTCGATTATAAGGACATGCATTTATGTGTTTTATTGTGTGTCTCCCACCTGAAAGTCAGCTCCTGATAGTAGGGACCTCGTCTGTCTAGTTACTCTCTGTGTTACCTATAGGAATGTTTAGCAGAGTTGTCTATCAGTAAACACTTGTTAAAAATGAACAGATAATATACCTCTAAAAGCTTCTTTCTTAATTATCTGCACCAGGAATATTGTTGACTCTCTGCTCAGCTTTGTTTCATAAGCAGTCATGTCTCTCAGCAGTGAGTCACCAACCCCTACGGTGCATGTCTTCTCCTGAGGCGGTTGATTGGTTTCTGGATCTTTCTAGGCTGTTTCCTCCTGGATGCAGGAAGTATGGCCTGCCTCTTCCCAAGAGGGTCACTCAGGACTGCCTTGTCATTTCTTGCTAAGTCACAATCTTTTACCAATTTCCTCTTGATGCCCTTGTACTTTTTAAGAGATTTAAAATGAAAAATCCCTTTGATTTTCTTTGATTATGATACATATGTATATATAATAAAGAGTCTGCTGACTCTTGGGTCCAGTTGGGACAGTTCCAGCTCACTCCACCCCTGTGGTCTCAGAGTAATTATTAATGGAACCTCCTTTTGTTCCCCTAGTTTTTTTCAGTTTGGACAATATACTATACTGTCACCCTTACTGGTAAGCCTGCATGCCGTCATTCTTGCTCATTTGTCATCAACCCTGTGTTCCCCAGTTTTTATCCCTGCTGGTGAGGAGTCTCAGGAGGCCTTACACTCTTAGTGGATCCCAGGGAGCCCTCATTACAAATGGTCACATCTGGCCATCGAACTCCAGTGTGGGCATTGCAGCCACTATCTTCTCATACCAGGACAGGCAGGCTAATTTATCTTGGTGAGATGAATGAGCAATTAACAATTCGCCTCTTAGAGCTGCTGAGCTGGGCTTTGCACGGGGAATTGCCTGCTTCAGAAAGCTGAGTCATCAGCCGAGAACCCACAGCCTTCAGTATTTGAAAACTCCTCATCTCTCTCCGCCTCTTCCTCTTCTGCCAAATGAATTCCTTGATGTTTGTTAACAGGATGGCTAGTCTAGGCTGAAATGAAATTTCTCTCTTTTTTTAAATTCTTTTCCTTTTTAAAAAAGATCTTACTTTGTTTTTTTTTTCAGCTCGCTTGTGCCTCATTGGCATATCCTTCAGGAATCAATAACAAATAATTTTTCTCATCAATTATACATGGTTTTACAAAGTCTTTTCTTAGCCATGATTTGTTTTCCACTGATACTGTGGCTTAAAATGCTATGATATTCTCTTCTGAAATAGCCTATAATTAATTTCTTCCACCAGGCTTCCCCGGTGGCCCAGCAGTAAAGAATTTGCCTGCAGTCCAGGAGATGCAGGAGACATGGGTTCGATTCCTGGGTCGGGAAGATCCCCTGGTAGGAGGCCATGGCAACCCACTCCAGTACTCTTGCCTGGAGAACCCCATGGACAGAGGAGCCTGGTGGACTACAGTCCATGGGGTCTCAAAGAGTTGGACACAACTGAAGTGACTTAGCACAGCACAATTTCTACCACTGAACTATATTAGTCTTCACCTAAATTAGTTTTAATTTACCTCATTTCACAAGGGAATCCTACAGCACAGGGTTACGTTTCACTGTAGCAGCTGTGATTTGACTCCATCTGCCTTAATGTTCTTTTTGAGTTATTCTGACATCATTTTGATAACATTCTCTGCCTGTGCCTGACGCTAATATGTCTTTGCCATCATGTAGCTGACTTACTACGGTATCAGTTGACTTTGGGAGGATTTTTATTTTAGTCTCTGAAGACAATTGTTTTTGGTGTTTTAACATGCAAATATGAATTCTATTCATTTGTGTTAAAATAAGTTCTAAGGTTCTGAGATTTTCATTGTATTCCTATTTTTTTTTTTTTGTAACAAACTCCTTCAAAACTTACTTGCTTAAAACAGTGACAGTTAGCTTATGAATCAGTGGGTTGGTAATTTGGGTTAAGATCAGCTGGGAGGTTTTTGCGATGATCTGAGCTGGGCTCCCTCGGGTAAATGCGGTCACATTGGTTGGTCCTCCTCTGGGTTTTGGTGCGCTGCTGGCTGGAGTGATGAGGGCCAATGCACTGTCTGTTTCTCGTTGTTCAGAAGGCTCTTTGGGCTCACTGACATGGTTGAAGAGGTTCTAGGAACATCTAGGACACATCTAGGATGTGTCCCAATGCACAAGCGATTTTTGATCTCTACTTATGTCACATTTACTAACATCTAATTGGTCAAGGTGGGACATGTGGCTAAAAGCAGTTTGAGAAGGCACCACAGAAGGGCATGGTTGTAGATAGCAGAATTACTGTGACTTTTTTTTTTTGTTTTGCAGACAACTTATCAAAAGATTATAAACTGAAACATTGCCATACTTATACTTTCTGTGTAGAATTCAGTGAAATTCTACACATAAAACACGTTATAAACCTGTGAAAAGAAATTTATTGTAAAGTTTCATCTAGTTATTCCACGACATAGTCCTAAAGAACAGTGTTATAGTGAGAGTCTAGTGTATCTCAGTAAATTTTATGGACTTAACCATGCCCACTCCAAATTCATGTTGAAGTTCTGACTCCTAGCACCTTAAAATGAATTCTCAGTACCTGTATTTGGAGATACAAGTTTACCTGTATCACCTTTAAAGAGTTAATGAAAGTAAAAATGAGGTCATATGGGGTCTGTATATGCTCAGTTGGTAAAGAATCTGCCTGTAATGCAGGAGACCCAGGTTCAATCCCTGGGTCAGGAAGATCCCCTGGAGAAGGAAATGGCAACCCACTCCAGTATTCTTGCCTGGAGAATCCTATGGACAGAGGAGCCTGGTGGGCTATAGTCCCTGAGGTCGCAAAGAGTCAGACATGACTTAGCGACTAAACCACCACGACGGCCCCAGTATGATTGATGTTCTTACACGGAAGGGAGATCAGGACACAGACATGTGTGTGCAGAGCAGAGGTCATGGGCAACATAGTGACCATCCACAACCTAGGAGAGAGGCCTCAAAAAAAAAACCAAACCTGCTGACTCCTTGATTTGGGACTTTCCAGCTGCCAGCACTGTGAGAAGACAAATCTCTGTTGTTTAAGCCACCTGGTGTGGCGTGTGCATGCTCAGCTATGTCCAGCTCTTTGTGTCCCCATGGACTATAGCTCACCAGGCTCTTCTGTCCACAGAGTCTTCCAAGCAAGAAATACTGGAGTGGGTTGCCATTTCTTCTGTAGGGGATCTTCCTAACCCAGGGCTCGAACTCAAGTCTCTTGCATCTCTTTCACTGGCAGGAGAATTCTTTACCACTTGCACCACCTGGGAAGCCCTTTAAGCCAGCTAGTCTGTGGTATTTTGTTATGGTGGCCCTAGAAAACCAATACAGTGAATATGCTCAAATTAAAGTCAATTAAATTACATATCGTATACTGCATTCAGTAGTTAAATGATTCTTTTCTACCCAGCATTGTACTAAAATATTAACAATAATGCCAAAGAAAATTGCCTTTCATCCATTCTTTCAAAAGTTGTTCAAGGAAACTATTTTAGGTTTTTTGTGATTCCTGCTCAAAAATAGATTACAATGCAATTAAGAAGATAGGACTGAGGCTTTTGGGGGGAAAAGTAAGGTTATATAGCAGTATATGTTAACTTTTGAAACTTATTTCTTTAAATTATTATTTTCTTATTTGTTTGAATTCTCACAGCTCTGTGTGTTCCTTCAGGATAAACACTATCTCCTGTATGTTTGCTCTCTAGTACCTAACAGTTGATGAATATTTTTAATGAAAAGTTGCCCCTGGAGTGAGCTACAACAGAGTGAGAACAGTGTCAGGGATAGACTGTGAAAGGAAGGTGACATCAAGGATGACTGATGGAGTAATAATAGCTGGTGGCAAGGGGTAGTGGAGCTCTTCTGTAGCTGGCTATAGAATATATTCTACATTCTATACATCTATAAATATATGCTATATTCCTGGCCCTGGAAGCAGGAAGTCCAGGTATGAATTCTGTTCAGCCATTCCAGGAGACAGATATTTATGTCAGATGGATGTAGGCTTTATTCCAGGGCCATTCATTCTCTGTTTCTTTGTAGGTTCAATTTATTTTGGGGCTAACTTTGAGAGCTCTGGTTTTTATCCTCTATTATCCTAAGAGTTAGGGATTCCTTAGAAAATGATGAACGTAAGCATGGAGTGTTGTGGTTCACATAGTATCCAGAAAAGCAAAGGAAATTCCCAGATGGAGAATAATCACTTCTCTTTATCTGAGGATATTATGGGAAAGGTGAGCTATAGTTATTTCAGTTATAAACGTAAAAGAATTGAATTCTTCATCTAGTAAGTGGGAACTCAGCTCAGCTTTGTACTTAGAGGCAATTCTCATTCAACATTTGTGCAAGGAAAGAAGGTCACCTCTACATTTTCACAGGAACAGAAGTCATTTTGGCTGTGCTATCCCACTGCTGGCTTCCCTAGTGGCTCAGGGGTAAAGAATACACCTGCTAATGCAGGAGACATGGGTTTGATCACTCTGTCAGGAAGACCCCCTAGAGTGGAACCCACTCCAGTATTCTTGCCTGAAAAATTCCATGGACAGAGGAGCCTGGCAGGCTACCGACCCTTGGGTCACAAAGAGTTGGACACTGAGTGACTGAACACACATGCCACTTCTTAGGGGGTTACTCTTAAAAAACCTATCAGTGGTTTCAACATGTCAACTTCTGTCAACCTGTCAATGTGTCCAACAATTTTTCAGTTGGAATTGAAGCTGGGTGGAAATCTGGGGTGCCAAGAGCTAGGGAAATGACCTCTTCTGAAGCTGGCAAAGGCTCAGGTGTGCAGGGAATGTGAGATGAGAAGTGTGAATAGAAAGTGTGAATTGAAGAATCACACAAAAGTACTTAAAGTTCAAACTGCAGGAAGCATTGTTTTTTTCTGAGTTGCAATATGACTGAATCTTTTTTTTCTCCCTTTGAGTAGATTCAACTTTTTAGCCAACTTAAAGGGTTGCAGCAGCCATGAAATTAAAAGATGCTTGCTCCTTGGAAGGAAAGCTATGACAAACCTAGACAGCATATTAAAAAGCAGTCACTTTGGCGACAAAGGTCCACCTAGTCAAAACTATGGTTTTTCCAGTAGTCATGTATGGATTGGAGAGTTGGACCATAAAGAAAGATGAGCATCGAAGAATTGATGTCTTTGAACTGTGGTGTTAGAGAAGACTCTTGAGAATCCCTTGGACTGCAAGGAGATCAAACCAGTCAATCCTAAAGGAAATCAACCCTGAATATTCATTCGAAGGACTGATGCTGAAGCTGAAGCTCCAATACTTTGACCACCTGATGCGAAGAGCTGACCCATTGGAAAAGACACTGATGCTGGGAAAGGTAGAAGGTAAAAGGAGAAGAGGGCAGCAGAGAACGAGAACAGGTTAGAAGGGCTGATCTTTGAAGCAGAGTGGGATAAAAAGAGCTGGAAATGGACAGCTGATGACCAGGAAGAAACTTTTCTGTCTTCAAAGAGAATAAAAAATGAGTTGCTAGGTGAAGCTATTTCCTGGACCACTTTTATTTTAAATTTATTTATTTGAATAAATAAAACATACTCGTGAAAAAGAAAATAACATACAAAGTGTAAAAAGTAAGTTACTCTCCATTCCCCATTACTGACTTTCAATTCACCACTTCCCTCATCCATTTCTTGCTTCATTTAGAATCTATCTAGGAATATACGTGTGTTTTCACCTAGAAAAGAAAAAATGAAACAAATGATTAGAGGCCACATTAGTGATTCAGAAACTTCTTCATTTAACATCCTTTGTGATATGTGCCATATGAGTACTTAGAGAAAATACCTCATTACAGAAAATGCTCCAGAACATTCTATTATATGGATATGCCTTAGACTGCTCTGCAACACAGAGTGACATTTTAACATTGCCGACAGATGTTGCTGTTTTAATATTTGAAAGATATGCCCACCTGAATGCAGAGTTCCAAAGAATAGCAAGGAGAGATAAGAAAGCCTTCCTCAGCGATCAGTGCAAAGAAATAGAGGAAAACAATAGGATGGGAAAGACTAGAGATCTCATTAAGAAAATTAGAGATACGAAGGGAACATTTCACTGAAAGATGAGCACAATAAAGGACAGAAATGTTATGGACCTAACAGAAGCAGAAGATATTCAGAAGCAGTGGCAAGAATACACAGAAGAACTATACAAAAAAAGATCTTCAAGACCCAGATAACTATGATGGTGATAGTTTATGGTGAAATGTGTCAGATTCGTGATCTCTGAAGATTTAGTTTCGGGACCAGAGACCAGCTTGACTGCTCAGGGCTCTTGCGTGGCAAAATTTTTATTACAGTGAAAAGGGACAGAGAAAACTTCTGATACAGACCTCAGAAGGGGGCGGAGAGTGCCCTACTCACTAGGCTTCAGCAAGGGAATTATATACTTTTTAATTAGTTATTACAATAAATCAAAAGAATGTCTCAAGTTAGTGAACATTTTACCAGATCCACTCCCACAGTTTACATTTTAGGATAACAGAATTAGAATTTAAGAACAGAAAGATCCTACTAGACCAACTCCCATAATTTACATTCTAAAATATTAGGATGAGTCAGAAGGTTTTCAGGTAGGAGAAACTGTCCTCAAGCAGGATATATCGTTGTGTAATCCCTAGTACAGAGTTTAAATTAGGACTGTTGTGCAATCATCAGTTCCTGTAATCATCAGGGCTTAAAGAAAAAAGCGTTTTATGTGACTAAGACTAAGCTATGTAGGAAAAAAAAAAATTTTGTCCTTTCCTCCTCCTTGAGAATTCCAAACCCCTCTCTCCT